AGTGTTTGAAATAAACAGGGGATCTGGTGTCCTCGTCATGCTGCGGGGTTTGTGAATGTGGAGCAGTGTTCGGGAAGGAAGGGTCCAGGTAAGGGGCGGAGTCCGGCGGTGTCCCTCTCCAGTCCGGGGCGTGAGGGGTGGTGGCTTCTTTCAGCAGCTTCATCCTTCTCTTTGCCCACGGCGCTCGAAGGGACTAGACGGCCCGTCATCCTGGCATTAAGTCCATACATCCATTAAGTAATAGGGATAATCTCTAGACATGCCATTAGGTTGTAAAGTTTATCTGGTCTGTCTGAGGTGTCCTGGTTGCCATGGTTAACATAACAAATAATTGTGTGTCTGATTTATCCAGGCATTACAGTGTCTATATAGTGGTGCATCAAATATAAAGTCAACACAATCAGTAGATCCTTGGGTATGAAAGGTTAAGGAGAGACCGCACCAATTGGGTCAATCAAACTCAGGTCCTAGAGGGCCACTGTCCTGCAGAATTTGGCTCCAACCCTAATTAAACACACGTGATCCAAGCAATCAAGGTCTTTAGGAGTGCTATTTCCAGACAGGTGTGTTAGAGCTGGTTGAAGATAAACTCTGGAGGAGAGGGGCTTTCAAGGAGTTTCCATTGACACATGTGCTGTACTGTAGATAGGCCTTTATATGGAAACAGAGAACTTTTCAAAAGATTTTGTTTGACCAGGGCTCAACTGAATTAACTGACAAACAATAACTACAGCTGCAACGTGTAATAGATAGAAACAAAGCCCTGTCCCAAGCATTGCAGGTGCTAATTTCTCTTCAATTTATGGTCGCAGGAATGGTGAATGTAAGCACAAGTACAGCATGCTGGGCAATGCGACTTATCTGGCCTTTTTAAAGAACATGATCAGAAATATACTTGTCTCACAACTTTTGTATGTCCAGCTAGTGCTTCCAGCCCCAGATGTGTTATTATTGGGGTAAATGAATAGTTCAGCCTTGAAACTCTACTTGCGTTCTAATTGGTCCATTCAATTACTCATTACCATATACCTATATAATCAGGACATATTCAATGAATGCTATTTCTGTGTGCTATGCGTGTCCTCATCTTAACCCACCACCTCCCTAGCACCACCTGCCTAGATCTGCTATATTCCTCTCTCTAGCAGCAGTAGCATGTTTCCTTTTAATTGTATAATCCTAGCATTTAGCAGAAGCAAGTCTACTTGCTCTGCAGCAGCAGCAGCAGCAGTGTAGCAGATCTAGACTGCCAAGACCAAACATATACACATTCTATTTAAATTAATAAAGATTTTACAATCTATCCTGAGAGTTATAATGACTGAACTGCTTTTAACATAAATACTTACCTTAACAAACTTGCTTAGTAGGACCACCATTATAGCATATGACCTTTTTTATCTATTTTTTACCTATATAACCAGGACATATTCAATGAATGCTGCGCTCTATGAATGTCCTCATGTTAGCCCACTACCTCCCCAGCACCACCTGCCTAGATCTGCTACGGGCAGCAGCATGTTTCCTTTTCATTTTATGATCTGAGCATTTAGCAGAAGCAAGTCTACTTGCTCTGCAGCAGCAGCAGCAGCAGTGTAGCAGATCTAGACTGCCAAGACCAAACATATACACATTCTATTTAAATTAATAAAGATTTTACAATCTATCCTGAGAGTTATAATGACTGAACTGCTGTTAACATAAATACTTACCTTAACAAACTTGCTTAGTAGGACCACCATTATAGCATATGACCTTTTTTTATCTATTTTGGTTGTTTTACATGTTGATCAGAAGACCCATTGTACTGCACTGTAGCCTTACGTTTAGCTTCATTTAATATTGCTAATATGGAGACTTGTGGAGGCGAGATTTACTTTTCATGTTAAGGTTAGTGATGTAGTTCTTAAATTGATGATTAGCATTGTGATTTGTGAACTCAAAAAAAAAGGCACCTCAAATGGCTCATAACTGTAAGTTCACTTTTATATGTTCAAACTTTTTTCAGTTATCATCAATCACAGACGCCTAGCAGTCTTCAAACTGCCTTTTATTTTCCCTGAACATGTTTTTCCTCAAAAAATACTGTGCTACAATTATTCTCAGGAGCTGAGTGAGGTGTTTTTGTGAGAGTTGTTACAAAATGCTCTGTGTTCACTCTGTGATAAGACACACATAATGGAGGAGCCAGAGAATGAGTACGTACTAGAGAAAGCGGAAATATCATGAGCATTGAAAGTTATTTATTGACAGTATGTGAAATAGAGAGAAGCTAGAGGATATGCAAGACACAGGCAAACATCTGTACTTTTTGTCAGAGTTTGGCAGAGCTCACATTGAGATGTTGTGTCAGTGTGAATAAACAGTTGCTTTATAGAAAGGCAGATTACGAGCATAAGGAGACGTCTATATGAAAGTCTGGTTTCCCCCAGGCTTGATGAGCTGCGGTAGTCATGCCGTTTCAAGCAATACAGCTTGACATAAATGATTAACTTGGACAGATGAAAAACCATACAGGTTGCTGATCACTCAGCAGCAGCAATTATTTGTCTATTGCTTTAATAATATTCATTCTTTATAGTGGACCCAATTTCATATATGTGAAATATTTCAGCATTTCAAAGTTTA